GGTAAAAATAAAGTATTACCGACAGAAAAGAAGGATTTACCCACACTATTTTTTGTCGGTAATCCATGTATTAGCGACATATATGTTTTGTCGGTACTTCTCTCTTTTTTAGCGACATCTTTGATCTGTCGCTATTACACTATTTTAGTGACAGTATATTTTATCTGTCGGTAATACTTTTACTGACGGAGTTTTTAGCGACAGCGTAGCGACAAACAATTATCTGTCGGTAAAAGTGAGTAGCGACAGATATTTAACCTTTAGCGACATATTGGCCCCTGTCGATATTGCCTCCTTTTTTTGTAGTGAATTAAAAAATAAAAATTATATATTACGGAGTAAAAAACAATATCAAAAGCTCTACACAACAAGTAGCGACAAATTTATTTAAATTATCAAATAATTAATGAAAATGTATACAAAAGTAAAATTAGTTTGATCTAGTTGGGCTCCTACTTTGGTCATAGTATTATCATACAGTAAATTATTTTTAAATTTATAATGATATGTTACAAATGGTGAAGTACGTACTGTAGTAGATTATTTAATTAAGGTTCAATATCCCAAATCTCATATACATGTGTGTTTGGACAAAAATATCCCACATTTTATAAATAATTTCCAAGAATTCCATTTTGTTAGGAAGGGTATTTGGAGGATTAGAGGGAGCTTTTTTCTCCATCTTTTTGCAATGATTTTTGTAGTGTTTAAGAATGAAGAAAGGATAAAATGGGAAGATTAAATCATGGAGTATGAGATTACAAATGAAATTATAGATAAGATGCCAAAGGAATTTTGATTTTTGGCAAGTGGAGTCATTTCAGGGTTTATTTGTGCAGTATATACATACGGAGTGCGTACATAGGATGCCAATGCAGAATTGTACGTATTTGACTAATGATGATATCTTGTGAGTATTGCATTGACTAATAATGATTGGGGTTGGAATATATACATAGTGTTGTTGATCACATAACTTCTTCACATTATTTTGGAGTATCTTTTTTTAGAAGTAATCCCTCTGTCCCCCATAGATCTTCCCAATAGCCCTTTTTCTTTGTTCACAATAGATCTTCTCATTTCATTTTTTAACAATTAAAATACTACAACTATCCCCACTTACTTTATTTATTACACCTCACCCACCTCATTTAATACACTCCACCCATTTTCATTAAGGGTATTATGGTAAACTTTCATCTTTTTTCAACTCTCCTTAAAAACCACCAAAAGTCAAAATGAGAACATCTTAGGGGGACGGAGGCAGTAATTCATAGAGAGATGGATTGACTAATGATTGGGATATATTGCATGTCCATCTAATTAATTAAACTACTACTGGTAATTACTATAATTAGTAGTAGGTGCAGTAATTATTTAACTAATAATGCTGGTAATTAATTAATAATTAGTGAATTAACTAACTAATTAAGTAACAGTCTCATCGGCGTGGAAAGTGGATCTTGAGGAAAACAAGAAAAAGATCCGCAGAGGGCACTTTAAACAGTATTGACTAGCTATTACAGTATTACTACTACTACTACTCAGCTCTAAAAATCTTTTCTTTCTTCAATTCTTTTTTTTCGGTTCCCCTCAGAACAGTGTTTGTTATTCAATTTGCTGCTTTTTAATTGGCATGGTTTTGAGTGAATGCTTGCTTGGCATTTTTTCACCCCCTCAATTAGCTTTTCCCTTTTCCCTTTTCCCATTCTCAAAGCACCCAACAACAAACTAGATATCTACCTACCTAGCTTAGCTATATAACTAGCTGGTCCATATGGTTACTTATGGAAAAATTGAAATTTGGCTCCTTTTTGTTAAAGATATTTCATTCAATAGTTTTACCACAATCTTAGATTTAAAGAAATATCATTCTTTAAGTATCAAAATACAAAAATATGAGTCTTAAATCATTTTAATACCAAATTAGGAGTATGATAGAATGTGGTGTAAGAGAACGCATTGACAATGTAATAGAAAAGTGATGACATTGTGATTAGTCAACCATCAGTGATTTGTGGAGACACTGTGGTAGCCGGCAGCGATAAATGAGCAATTTTAAATTCACAAACAAAACTATCACAAAATTCATAAACCTACCATTTATGGTTTAAATTCTCATTTTAAAATTATTTTAGATTGCTTTATTTTTTATTGAAATTCACAAATAGTAAATTTATGAAATTTGTGACGGTTTTATTTATGAACCAATAATTTCTCATCACTAATACTCAAGTTGGAACTTGTGCATTTACTAGTTAATGTTAATCATCTTAAATTTACTCTTTTCTATCTCGAATTAATTGTTCGAGTTTGATTTCACGAAGTATAAGAAAAATATTGAAAAATAAAAAAAACAAGTAGTTGAAGTTTAATTAGACAAAAAAATTGTGAACCATATATATAATCTTTACTTTATTAGGAAAGTAAAGAAATGATACAATTATATTGGTACGAAACTAAAAAGAAATGAAATGCGATAACTATTTTAGTACTCCGTACAAATTAAAATGAAAAGTGAAACAGATTTAACAAAGTATTTTGCGATACAAACAAATACAGAGATCATAAGGGGGTATAAAAATGAGTTAATACTCGTTTTAGCCTCTTTAAGTACACTCACGAGTAAATTTGGTGCTTGCAAAGTTCGATTTAATCAATTAGTCCCTGTAACTAGAAAATGTGAATCAAATTATGGTCTTTATGCAAAAAAAACACCTTTTCAAATTTTAAGTTACCATGTTGATTGACACAAAAACTAATATACGAGCTCATTACACTTGCGTCGATCAATTAACGTGAGTGCACTTACCCGACTTTAAGAAATCGAGAGGATGTGGTATAAAAATGAATTTAAATTAACACTTCTTTATTTTTACATTTGATTGAACCTTTTTTTAGAACTAAGAGAGTATATATTGGAATAGATAGTGAAGTAAAACTCATCCCTAGATATGTGTACGGCCATCAGCAGTGACGACAACAAACACACACACACAGAGATCAGAGAGAATTATAATGAGGTGTACGTACGTACGTGTGGATCGGAGTTGGTAATAAGGAGGAATGAGAATTAACTAATGGGTATTCAATTCAATTCCCTCATTCGAATAATAAGTTAAGCATGGCCACACTCCAGAGATCTGCAGAGCTGAAACTTTAATAAATATGCATACATATCCTTCAATTCACTACGACACTATTTATATATACTCATTTATGATGAGTCTCCATATATCTCCCAAGCATAAACCACCAACTGGATTCTTCATGCTGCCATCATAAAAGGTAAATAAAGCCATGGCCATAGCTTCCACCCCCAACTAGGAGGTGTTTTTTGTCAATCCGCAAATTTTATCGTGGACCTAAGATTTATGGTGAACTTTCATGTATAGGTGAAGTAAACAAATTCTTACTATGAGATAAGCATCTAACAAAAAAAGAATTGTGAAATTCTCACAAAAATTGTTAGAAGATCCACAAATTTTTTTTAGGTCTCCAAAAAGATTGTGAAGTCTTAAAGATTGTTGGAGTAACACTCTTCTTGATCATATCATCAATAAGGAATTGAAGAAGAAGAAGAAGAAAAGTAGATGCATGCAGGGTATGGGTGAGTGGGAGTGGGAGTGGGAGAAGATTTGATCATCAATATCATCTCATGTATCTACAGAGTATGTTTTTTGATTTGCGTGTCACGTTGTGGCTAACTATATACTCTGGAGTACAATAATATACTGAATATATTAAATTAAGAAATAAAAATTATGAGTCAAAAAATACTTTTAAACTTGAGTATTAGTTAAATACAAAAAAAATAATACCGATTTGAACATAAATATGCAACAATCTATTGGTCTTATTTGTATTTTTTCACTCAAACGGGATGAGTTTTAACCTTTAACAATTACTGTGTGACATTAATTATATTTCTCCCATAACAAGATTTCTACAAAATTATTTTTCTGTAATTTTTCAAATTTATTATATATGGAGTATATCAAATGGTCAAGAGTTTAAGTAAAAGATCATAAAATGTTTAACTATGTTTTTTCTTATTATTTTAGTTTAATTTGTAGAGTATTAATTAAGCATAATAATAAGCATAGATTCAAAAAAGATGTGAGGATTCTCACAAAGATGTTATATTTCATTAAAGATGCACATGATTAAATTAGGTCTATTACTTCACATTGGAAAATTGCTCATCATATTCATTGCATATATACTCTCTTTGGTTGTAACTTTTTTCCCAGTATGATTTGATACAATTTTTAATAAAGTACTACCTCCGTCCCGTGAAACATTTCCCCTTTCTTTTTTTATCCGTCCCACAAAACACTTCTCATTTCTATTAAAAAGTCACTTTTACCCCTTACTTTTTCATACCCTAACTATCACATCATACCTTTTTACTAATAATCTATCCATCAAATCATACTTTTACCCATCACATCAAAGGACATTTTTGGAAATTCAATACCAAAATACACTCCCTTAAATCCCTCCTAAAAAGCAAATGTCTCATGTTTCACGGGACGGAGATAGTAGAAAATGAATGATTGCGATTTGTATAGACCGAGATAAGAATGAAACACACATTTAGTTCTTTGAAAGGAAATTGAAAGAAAACTTTGGGATAATCTAAAAAAGATTAAGAAAATAATTATGGGACTAAGAAAATACTTTAGTACTATCTTATGATTATTGATGAGATCATATTAACACACATAATGACATAGAGCTAGCTACATCCATATGAGGAACTAGCATATCACACAACAAATTAAATAGCCCATACTCCATATTATTACTTAAATTAATTAAGCACAACATCATGAATAAATTAAGATCCCAGCAATAAACAAAAATATGGTACGTACGTGTAGTATATATCAAATGTACCATCAAAATTGAGAGTAAAGATGAAAGAGTTATAACATTCACACCCTTCTTCTTCCCTTCTGGTACATCACAATCTCCATATATCTCACCTTATACAAACCCACCCCCATTCTTTAATGTATGGATTTTTTTTTTAAATAAATAAAATAAAATAAAAAAAGAAATAAAACGGAATATAGCTAGGGTTTTGATGAGGAAATATATAAAATATAAAAGCAAGGAATAACAGAAACAAAATCACAAGAGGCGGCTAGCAGTAGTAGTAGAGGAAGAAGTGTAACCAGCAATTGGCAGATCCGAGGTTGTCGTTGTTGTGGTTGTGAATCCATTAACGTTGTTGTTCCCAGTCCAGAAATGTTCTTCGCTGTTGTTGTTTCCTGTTATTCCCAGAAAGTTTCTTGACATGTCACTGTTCATCCCCACATTGTTGTTGCCCTCCATCTTCACATGATGAAACGTCGCCCCACCGCCGCCGCCGCTTTCGAAACCCTTTCCCCCGAGCTGATGATGGTGATGGTAATGATGGTCTCCGCCGTATTGATCCGCTTCTTCGAACTGGTACAACGCGCCGCCGCCAGGCTGGTCGAGGCCGGAGAGGAATGGGAGCGGCGTCATTCCCTGCTGCAGCCGGAATAGGTCCGCGAACCGGGCGGATAGATTCATGGTGGCCACGGCGGAGTTATTCCCCATCTGATGAAACCCCATTTCGCTCTCGCTGTAATTCAAACCTAGTTCCGGCGCCGCCGCCCCGAACCCGCCGAGACTCTGCAGCGGCGGCAGGAACGAAATTGGCGGCGGGGGCTGGAAATGGTTGGCCGCCGACAGGATGATATCGGCCGGTGAGCGCGTAGAGCTCGGCGGTGCTCCATTGAGGTGGTCGGCTCGAGCCGCCGGGGACTTGGACCGGCTCCCTTTGCTGCTCCTCTTGTTGCGGCGGCAGCCGCCGCCGACCGGCACGTTCCTCAGAGCGCCGCCCCTCGTCCAGTACCTCCGGCACGTCTTGCAGAAGTGCCGCGGCTGGGAGAGGCTGTAGTTGTTGAAGTAGCAAAACTTGGTGTTGGTGGAGTCGCAACGGGGGCACTTTAGGGCCGCCTCTGGGGGAGCCACCTTGGCCAGCCTGGCTCTCTCTGTCATAGAGCCAGGGGGCCTAGCTGAGCCGCCGCCGCCCGGAAGGGGTGGAGGCGGTGGGAGGAGGGAGGAGCACCCCGTTGTTGTTCCATCAACCACATCATCACCTTGTTGGTGCTGCTCATCATCACACAATAAGGCCAAAAAAAGATATATCAAAAGTGGGAAATTAAAATTTGAAAAGTATATTCAAGACAAAAGATGCATATATAGAAAGAAAAAAAGAAGGAGAAGAAGAAGAAGAAGAATAAAGGGTTTTTATTTTTGGAAGAATAAATTGTTGGTGGTGAGATTATTGTTGTTAATATTATTAATTAATTACCTGGTGGTGGTGATTTGTCCAACTGGGAGGATCAAGGTAGAGAGGAACTGAAGAGAAAACCATAGTTTTGATCTAAAAAATATGCTTTGATCTAAAATTCTATCTTTTGAAAAAGGTTGATGAGTTGTGGGATATATGGTGGAGAATCACATCAAAGCTATGAATTGGAGACCCAAGAGGAGAGATAAACTGGCTTGGAGTGCTAAAGAAAAGCAAAGCTAAGGGCAGAGAGAGATGGTGGATGGATTGACAAAAGATAAAGGAGCTAGGCAAGGGGCGTTTATTTATATATATTTATTTATTTATTTATTAAACAGATTTTTGTTCTTGTTGAATTGGCTCCTTCCTATATTACTCCATCTCTTTTTGTTTTACCTAGCTATGCATTAATTAAGTCCCTTTTTAGACACTATTTTTTCTTACTTAATTGTGAATTAATTGTGTGTGCTCCCTCTTTTTTTGGCCTAACAATTAATGAGCCTTTTCAATCAAATTTTGTACTTACATACAAAAGAAGTCTCAAAATATATATGAGGTCATTGTGTATTCTCGAAAAGAATTTATAAGCAAAAAATGCATAATCTAAACTCTCTCAATCTCTTGTAGAATTTTTTTCTGAGTTAATTTTACACTTCAAAACAAAGTCATAATCCATAATTAGAAGAACCTGACTTTGCAAAATACTCGAAGCTGTGGTTTGATGAAGACCCAACTCAAAAGCTTTTTTCGCACACACTCCTAGCTCCAAACATCTTCTTAATCTCGTTAATCGGTTACACTATGGGTCCGTTTGGTATACGGAATTGATGGAATTGGAATTGAAATTCCATGGGATTCAGTTCCATAGAATTGAATTCACCAATTCCAATTTATTTTTTGCAATGTCAATTTTAAATCCATGTAATTATTTTGCTACCAAACACAAGAATTAGAATCGAAGTCCTCAATTCCAATTTTATAGATTGAATTTCGTGTAACAAACGAGGCATATGTGTAGTTCAAGGAATTTGAAAGGGAAAGAAAAGAAATTGAGATGGAATAACAATTTTTTTTGTTTGGTTAGAGAGGAAAAGAAGAGAGAAAATTAAAATGGATGGAAAATAAAATAAAAAGACAAAGTATAGAGAAAAACCAAGGGAGTCGGAGTTACATAGATCGATAAAAATTACTCCCTCCGTCCCAAAGTATTTGTCCACTTTCATTTTTACACACCATCCAATGCACTTCTTTAATCCATTTTATCTTGTAATTTGTATATTAAAAAATTATAGAAATTATATTTTAATAATCTACTCCCTCCGTCCTATAATGATCTTCCCGGTTCGCAAAACGAAGAAAAATCCCAAGTTTTTTCAATTTATTTTATTTAAATATTGGTATAGAAATAAAAAATAAAACATACATATTTAAAAACTATACCAAAAGTTCAACAAAACAAGTGGTGACAAGAATATTTTATTTTATCATATAGGCCATGAAAAAACACAAATAAATATAAATTCTCGTGAAGTTGGAATAGTGCTTTGGGAAGATCATTATAGGACGGAGGGAGTATATGTTAATACAAATCAAACAAGATCACACATGATTATATTTAGGCTTACACATTGAGAGAATTTGATGAGTCAAAGTGTTTAGATGAACAATTCTAAAAGTTAAAATGGACAAAAATTGGAGGACGAAGGGAGTACAAAGTGTACACTATTATGGTATGACTCTTTCTCGCGCAAGACCCTTGTTTAGGGTACCTCTATTGGGGTCATTCAACCACCATTTAACATTTTGAATGAATGCATGAGTGTTACTAATACTCCTTCCATCCCTGAAACATATTTCTCTTCATTTTTTCTGTCATACATATTCTTTCCTTTTTCTATTAAAAATCACTTTTACTCTTTATTTTTCTTACCATATCTATCACATCATACTTTTTTACGAATAATCTATCCATCACATCTTACTTTTATCTATCACATCAAAGATATTTTTGAAAAGTTAACACCAAAATATCTTTCCTTAATTTTCCAAAAAGTCAATAAGAGAACCTCTTTCGAGGACGGAGGGAGTATAAAAGATGTGTTGGATGAAGAGAGGGTGTAAATTAAAATATTTAAAGCTATAAATACCATCCATGATGACAAATAGTTCCACCCTAAATTATAAAAAAATCTAAACTTTTTTTTAACAAGCCAAAGCGTAAGAAAAAATATTTATATTATAATAAACACCATCCATTTCTTTGATTTCATATTTTCAATTATACAAATATTTATATTATAATAAATAATTAATAAAATGAACATAATCAATGATTTTAATTTTATCACTAATTTAATTATTATAATTGATTATAATTAATATAATCACTATTTAAATATAATAAAAATAATTATTATAATAATTAATTACATTTAATATAGTAATTATATTTGAACATATTTGGACACTATAGGTATAATAATTGATTAAATTTGAACGTGGTGGTTGTATTTCTATTAATGAAATATCTTTTATTATTAAACAATAAGTATTTTGACGACAATTAGAGAACATATACCGATGATATACGTACATTAAATTTTGACATAAGTTTAATATCAATAAATTGATTTTGAAATTTTGTTATGAAATATCATCTATACTACTGTATATTTAAAGCGAGGGAACTTTTTCCTTGCGTTTTCCTGCCCATATATGTGAGGTACAAAAGGTAAGTGTTGAATATAGAAATGATAATTTGTCTAGTTATGGTGTTTCCATTAATTATAATAATTATAATGATGCGCCATATGAATCACGGAACACGAAGAATAATAATAGTATATCGTGTAATAATATTATTGTATTTATAAATTATTTATTGTCGTGTAACAAGAATAATAATAATAATATACTGCGTAATAATATTACCATGTGATTATGTTAAGCAAAATAAGCATTAAATTTAGTTATGTTTCCATTTAGAGATCCGGTGCCAAACTTTTTATGGAGATAATAATAATAATAATAATAATAATAATAATAATAATAATAATAATAATAATAATAATAATAATATACCATGTAATAATATTTTCATATTTAGTTGTTATTAATTTATTACCGTGTAAGAAGAATGATAATAATAATATACTCCCTCCGTCCCATAAAGTGTTACCCATTTTGACTAAAGTAGAAATTAAGGGAGGAATAATTTTGTGTTGACTTTCCAAAAATACCCTTGATGTGATGGGTAAAAGTAGGATGTGATATGTAAATTATTATGAAAAAGGTATGATGTGATAGGTAGGGTTTGAAAATGTAAGGAGTAAAAGTGGTTTTTTAATAGAAATGGGTAGGAGATTGTGGGACACAATTTTTTTGAAAGGTGTAAATCTTTTTGAGACGGAGGGAGTACTATGTACTATGTAATGATATTACCGTACTTAGTCATTATTATCGTCTAGTAATTCTAATCAAAGAAGCTTTCAATTTAATATTGTTTCCATTTAGAGTATTGGCCAAACTTAATATTACCATATTTAATTATTATTAATTTATTATCGTGTGATTATGCTAAGCAAATAAGCATTCAATTAAGTTATGTTTCCATTTAGAGATCCGGTGCCAAATATTTTATGGAGAAAATTAAACTTATTAATTTATTCCTTTAGGAAAGCACAATTAAAAAAATTCAAAATAAAAAATAATAAAAGAAATTAAATCTAAAAAAATGTCAAAGTAATACATAGAAATGGTGGCACACATGGTAAGTGTTGAATATAGAAATGATAATTAAATAATAAATTACTATATAACAAGAATAAATCATGTATTATTGTGTAGCAAAATAATAATAATAATAACATACCATGTAATAATATTACTGTATTTAATTATTATTAATTTATTGACATGCAAGAAAAATAATAATAATAATAATAATAATAATAATAATAATAATAATAATAATAATAATAATAATAAATACCGTGTAATAATATTACGGTACTTAGTCATTATTATCGTGTAATAGTTCAAACCAAATAAGCTTTCAATTTAATAATGTTTTCATTTAGAGATCCGAGGCCAAACAATTTGTGGAGACATCGTTTTAAGAGGTGTGCGGTGTGCCTTTAATACATGGGAACGTATTGAATAACTTACCCAGGAAAAATTCGATGCATGGAAATAGAAAAAAATTCTAATTTTTTCATACCATAAATACAGTCATTCTCAATCACTTTTTGTAATTAGCCTCTTTCAAATTTTTTGAATGAATTATACTCTCTTGAGTTCTTAAATAAGATCCGTGCTTTCGGAATAGAAAATCATGAGTTAACTTTAAAGGCAGACACACTTATTATGTTGTTGAGAAATATTGATCATTCATTGGGTTTATGTAACGGTACACGATTGATAGTAACTTGATTGGCTATACACTCAATACAAGGAAAAAAATTTACCGAAAACACGTTGGATCATTGTAACGGAAACCGGTATTTATTAGTCATTGACAATTGTATGTTGCAATTTCAAGAGTAACAAATCATAACGGCTTGAAGAGTCTGATATGTAACGAAGACAAATTTTCCAAAAATTGTACGAGTAATGTAGTTTATAAAGAAGTCTTTCGATATTTGTAAAACAATTAACTTTTGTGTCTTAAAATAATTAAATCTCTATATTCTCTTAGATAAGAATTTGTATCCTTAAAAAATGATCTTAATTTAGTAATGTAAATATGACCCGTGCAACGCACGTGAGTGTTACTAGTGTTTTTATAATCTATGTTTACATACATATATATATATATTAATGCTCAAAGTGATTCATTGAATATCATGAAAAATCAAATGAGAATTTTTTTAGAAAAGGAGTATCTTACATCAAAAATAGGGTTATGCCACGTGTACACCATTTTGATTTTAGTTGTTACATTACTTACATATATGTATAGATAATAATTATTTGTATATATCTGTAAAATACTATTGTACAAGTAATATTGACCTTACATTTTCGTACATTAAAATTCGGGTTAAATCAAACATTAAAAATGAGTGTTCTAGATGTACCCAACTATATACACTAGGGTTTTCAAAGTCACACACAAACACTTAGAGCATGTGCACTGGCAAGTAAGAGGAATGCCTTGCATTGCCACATCAGCTCTTTCCACTCATATCATGGCATGGCAAGACCAAAATGCCTTGCTT